TTAAAATAAAACGTACTCATCTATGTTATAAAGTCACAAATAAATTACCTTGTCACCTTTCACGCCGTACATGCTTATCACAAATCTCTCTATTGAGGCAACAATACTTTCGTCTATCTCGTCCTCAGCAGACAGCGGGTCAGAGATTCTTTTGAAGGCCACTGTAGTTTCCTCAGTTGTCCATGAATTCCAAGCTGAACGCTTACCTTTTGACCCAAAGAATGCGGTCACGTCGGATCCCGTGAACGCATGGAACCCACGAAGAGCTACTGATTTCATATCTCCTAACTTCGACGCAATGCCATGGATACTGATAAAACGTCTCTTTGCCTTACTGCCGTAGTTCACCCAAAGTTTTTGAAGCCCGTTGTCTCGCAGTTTCGGGAAGAATGAGACGAGAAGCACAAGTACGTCAGTGTCCGTGCTTCGAACAACGACAGTTTTCGAGCCTCCGTGAACTACCATATCCTGTTCAAAGGTTTGAGGGGGTAAGTTCGATTACAGCATGAATAAAATGAAAATTTACTGAATATTAACATGTCTCTTACTTGCAGGTGCAGAATAACTCTCCCATCAGCCTCCTCCATTTCTGCAGAAGCCCCATGCAATGATGAATTACCAGGCACAGAGGATATTATTTTTGAATCAACATTAGTCACCATTTGAATTCCTTCACATTTTTCAAGGAGAGCCTGAGAAAGGTAACGAAAGAGTTCTACTTTATTTTGATCATCACGCAGATAATCTTCCCAGTCAGGCGGTAGTTTATCTGAAAAATGGGTTATGCATAAAAATTGCACACAAAACATTTGAGGTTATTTTTTTAAAAAACTAAGGCATTTTTTTAAAAAAATACCTTTAGCTGGTAAATCAACACGGCGTTTGCCTTGCCCTCTATCGGTACGGGTTGCTTCCTTAAGGCTGTGCTTTAAATACCTATCCCAAGCAATGTCCACTCTCTGTACTTTTAGGGTCGAAACCATAAAATTTATCACACCTAGGAGTTGTTTCACATACTCAGTGAAAGTTTTTTGGTCAGGGCGCGGCTTCACAGCATGAACGAGACATCCCCCATCAATAATCGCTGCATCTGCCTGGGTGGGGACTTCACCTAAAAGTTAAGAAAGAAAAATTAGACATATGTATTCTAAAATGCTATCAAGTATTGCCTAAATTATGCTCACCTTGTGGATTTTGTCCAAGTGTTTCTAAAATAAGAGTTAACTGGTTTTTGTCACCAGTCCTCATTTTTCCGCCGACAGCCAAAGACGGAGGATAGGACAAATTTTCGTATTCAAAGAATTTGTCTAAATCTAATTTCCGAGCAATACTGACAACGAATGATCTTGAAAATAGATTCACCTCTGACTTCAGAATATCTACAGCAGTGCACTTTGATGGTTTCTTTTTAGCAGCAAATATTTTCGTGTTACATTTAGTAATGGGGTCATATAAGGACTTTGTCCTTTCCAGTAATCTTTCATTTACAAAATCGGTGTATAACTTTGAACCTTTTGTTTTAGCACCAACAAGAGCTGCTACCCCTTCTGCTGAAATCGCAACACGCGTGTCAAGTGCAATAAGTTCTTCTTGATTTAGAGAAAAAGGATTATCAAACTCATGAAAGGAATCCTTTAGAGCAATGCAGTGCTGTAAGAACCTCATCTGGTAAGATTCTTTTTGTTCATGATGACTGCCAAAGTCTCCAGTATCATCGTCATCTTCCTCATTTTCAAACTCATTAAGTATTCTTGTGATTTCAGGTCCCCCGATGGTCCAGCGCCGCAAAGCAGATGGGTCATGAGTCAGACCCGATATGCCCCCTTTTCCCTTGACAGAGGCATTATTCTGTTCATGAGCGTGGTCGATACCAAGACTGCTGAATAGATTGTTAGTCTTATTGACAACAAACTGGCCTGTTAAACAGAAATAAATGTAAGTATACTCCATGCAATGTAGGAGTTTTCACACGCACATGCACAACAGAGGCCATATGATACCTTCTGAAAAAGCTTGGTGAACACTTGGGCATGTTCTTTCCAACTGTTCCAAGTCAAAAATATGGACCGGTAGCCATCGGGAATAGTTTATATGATCAAACAAAAAAAAACCATGGAGCCATAGCCTTCAACGCCTCTTTAAAATTGCTGTAGTGCCCAAGCCTCACAGAGCGTACAAAATCAAGTAGCATTATCTCTAGGTTTAACAATGTAAACCAGAAGAGAAATGTCGGTGAAAGTTTCACACGCTCATCAATCCACTGCTGAAGTTCAATATCTCCCCCCTCGGGGTGGGAATTTGTGAACTCTTCCATCAGCAAACAGTGAAGAACTGCTGCGGTAATCTGATGAGCCTCTCTGGCTCTTTTGATGTGCGTAACCTGTTTAAAATTTAAGAAGTTATTGCATGATTTCTACAACTGTATTGCAAAAATCTGGAGGTGTGTCATACCTTCATTAGAGCCTCTGCGGAGCCACTTGTTGCTATCCCTGAGTGAGTGATAATTGTAGTCCATCCGCAGCCTTCCATGTACTCCCCCAACATTCGGAGAAAAGCTTGTTCAATATGCAGAGGGCCTAGCAGAAGAACTATCTCCCTTTCACCATACAAGTCAGGCCAGTGCCATTGTATTTTTTTAGCAATAATGTAGAGCTGTAGATCGAGACACATGACAGCCTTTTGTTCAGAATTGAGAACTTTCGTGAGTTGAATTACTAAATCCATGCCGTGCCTGATCATAGGCACAGTAGCAGATTTATCATGAAAAAGTGGCAG